GGGCATTGTCATAAACCTTTTGCCTGGAAAATTTAAGGAGTTATTATTATGTACGTTTAGGTAATACAACCGTTCGGCCGCTTGTGTATATAGTATTGATAAAGAATATAGAAAGTTATATTCATTTGGTTATTCAAAAAGGAAAACAGCTGTAATTAATAAACGACACACAAAATCAAAAAGGAAAACTATTACTCTTGTTTTTTTATTTATTTATTTTTTTTTTTAAAAAAACACCAACCCATAAGTGACGGGTTAGTATAAAAGCACACTTTGCACCACGTGGAGGCCATAATCTGATCAGGTCTAGACCTGATTTATAGCTATAGATATAGATGATCTGATTTACAGAATTTACTTTACGTTAAAAAATATCAGTCAAGTCGAATTGGTTGGTTTGATATGTACAGTAAACTACTGTCTATAGTCACACCTTTTGGCAGCCCATTTTTGGTGATTATAGACTGAGGGGATTATAGACAATGGCGTGATTTATTACATGTTATTCATTTACTATTCTCTTTTTAATCCATCGTTCTGATTCAGCTAATATTTTAATGATTGTTGAACGGTCAACGTTGAGGTTAAACGTTTCTATCAATTTTATTTGCTGAACAATTAGGATGATCCCGTTTGTACAGATATAGTGACTTTTTTGTCTCCAGAGAGATTGCTGTGCGCTTGCTAGCATTAGTTTTTGGCATTTTTTTGTGAAATTGTAGGAGCAATTGAATTTAAACTTTAGAAGCGCGTTTTTACAAATTTTAAATAAAGCGCCGCGTCTTACAAATCAAACAAACACGTGATCAGATGTGACTATAGACAGCGTTCAGTACTTATATCTTGATCTGAGATTTTGGTGATAGGGACTAAGGAGATTTTATTAGAGATTGTGACTATAGACAATGTGATTTCATATGAAATGGTTTTTGCACGAATTATTTGTGACTAGGCAGATAGTGACTATAAACGAAGGGACTATAGACAGTAGTTCACTGTAAAGACCATAAAAATTAAGCATCAACAAGACCACATGAATTTCAGTCATCAAAATATGAGTGCAATCATCTTGATAAAGACTTAAATTCATGCGATCTTTAATATTGGATACGCCTAATTATTGACGTCATGTAATCTGTTACATTTTTTTTCAATATGTTCAACCCCTGTAATCAAATACAATAAACAAAGTCTTTAATTAAATGTTAATTTTCAAGATAATCAGCACAATATAATTAAACATACCTGTTTTTCCAAAAACCTATTTAAAGCATCTTCATTACCGTCAGGGAAGAGCGAGGCGAAATCAAATCTGGCATTTTTGACTTGGCGGAGTACCATCTGTTCGCCCTGATGAATATAAAATACGGTAAACATTCGTTGGGAAACGTGAATTCTAAATACCGTATCATAAGCAAACCCTCAATCCGTTTGACATACCATAGAAGCTTTTGTTGAATTTAGATATGCTGCCACAACCTTTGCCGAGGGTGGTTCACTACCTCCTATGTAAGTTAGTGGTCGTACCAATTCTGCCACTTCATTTAACTTTATCTGAGCGCCGTGTAACAATTGTCCAGTGTGTGCATAAGCATGAGGAACATCAATTCCAATATCTTCTAAATTGTCCATAATATCAGTAAACGCTTTCTTGCAATCTGCTGGATATATTTTCCGGAGTTCCTTGAGAAGGTCGGCACAACTTGAAACATCGTCTGGTTTCTTCTCAAGCGCCGATTCGATAAACTCTCGGATTGCATCACTAAAATATCCGACAGGAAGTTCTTTGATACATAAGGCAACTTCCTGTAACAGTTTTAACAAGATCAGTTTTGAAACAATGTAAAGCTAATGGATTTGTAAGTAATAAACGAACCTTCTTGTCTCTCACTGACCAATATTCGTCAACCATAGCTTTAATCTTTCGCTTAGCTTCTTCCTGAGACATTGATGAGGACTTAACCACACCACCGCTCTTGCTCGATTGCCATTTGTTCTCTACGGGCTCACGATCTTTGTTATTAGTTCGCCAGTCTTTCGAGCCACTTGCAGATCTTGCAATTGTACCACTACCCGGAGCAAGATTCATGTTGGTACCGCTAATCTTGGTGCTGCGCACTTGTCCAAATCTTGTGAGATCGACTTTACGGCCAGCAGTATCCCATCCGTCCGATAACAATGGATTTTTGCTTGCCGTTCTGGGACCAATCCTGGAATTACTATATCTGCCTTGCATACTTGATTGCGTAAAACGTTCTTCGCTTGTAATGGATTTTTCAAATTTGCCCATCGGAGGCGGTGGATAGCTAGACTGCGCAGGAGAAGTATTATGTGAAAGACCCTGTTTATTAGATTCACTGGTACGTTGTTTCTTTTTTTTTTTTTTCGGGACTTCAACACGTTCACGTAATGCATCCAAGTGTAGTAAATTATCCGGTTTCTCTTTACAAAAACTCATGAACTGTATCAAGAATGGAAGGTCATATTTGTATTTTCCTGGTTGGGCATCTTGATTTAACGTGGGATCGGGTGGTGTAATATTTGGTGGATAGGTGACAGCATTAAGGTCTTCTATTTTTCGTGCGCTACCTAGTGCGTTGGGAGGTGCACTAGGCACCGATGCTGACGTTGTTCTTGATAAATCTAATTTGGCCGGTCGATGTTTAGTGTCCTTTCTTTCACTGGGTTCTCTGTCAAGGTCAGTAGTATTTGGTTTAGGTTCCTGCTGATTTTTCGTATCAGTTTCCTCTGCGGTAGCTTTACTTTTTGCCTCCTCTTGCTTCTTACGTTCCTCCTCACATTGTTTCCGTTCACACTCTTTAAGCTCTTCTTCCCGTTCTTTGCGTTCTTTAACTTTTCTCTGTATTGTCTCAATAGGGATTGTCTCTTTGCCAGCCTTGGGAATCTCTCCAGTAACTGATTGAGATACCCTTTCCGTTGGCATTGTTGGTCTGCTAGGTTTATAACTTTTATCCATGTGATAATTAAGTATATCACAACACAGTTTTCTTGGCAATAAATCAGTTATGATATTCTTGGCTGTGTTAATGTCATTAGATAACCAGTCATTTGGATCATTCCCAAGTTTTAGTTCAGGTACTTGTTCGGCGCCCCATTGTATGACTGACATCCATATATCATCATCTTCTTCCATCCTCAGGTCATTACTCTTGAGAAGAGTAATTAAAGTTTCCTTTGGTAAGGTTGCAAAAGCATTTGATTTGAAAATAATCTCTGGATGTGAAACCATAATCTGATTGCAATAATCCAAAAGTCTATTCACAGAGGATGTGGATGCAGCATACTTGTGAACTGTGAGAATATTCTGTTGAACCCATTCTTGTTGTTTATCAAGCAGGCAAGTTTCAATTGCGGTGAGAAGATCAAGTAGTTCAAATTTGCCAGCCCCATCCATAAGACTGATCCAATCAATATTCTTGCATGAACTATAGGACATTCGCCCCGTGTAAATATATCTATTATGAATCGTTAGTTGCAACACGTTAGTATTGGTTATTGTGCACTTTCTTTGACAGTTTCATGAAATTTTACCTGAGCAAGGTCTCGAAAACGTCAGGAGTCACATCTTCGAATGTCATGACAGTCATTTTAATTTCGTCGGGTGACTCTGCATTCTCTGTTAAACTATTCTCAAGAAATTTGCTTCTCGTACACAATACCAATGCGTGAGCAAAAAATACTTTGCTACTTTGCTCCTGTCCAACCTGGATTGAAACGTCTGTGTATCTGCGATTTTCATACAATTTCTCATAGTCAGCCGAAAGGCCCGAGGACAAATCAACAAAATCGTTCATTCTTCATACAACTTTCGAGAATGTCCAGACTGTGATTACAGTGCTGTAGACTGTGATAAGACTTTATTCCCGAGCGATCAATAATGATATATCAATCTTGCGTAGCACAGTCAATGTGTAACAATAAAACATCCATCGTTTGCTTTAATAGGAAATAATCAAACGTCGTTAGAGGTTTCGGATGTTTGGTATGACGGGCAACAAATGTATAATAACGTTAATTAACTTGGATATAAGGTTGTAGTTCTGGTAAGTAGATGTGTGTGTGTTGAGACATATGGAAGATTGTTAGTAAATTAGTTTTTGAGTCGGGAGAGTATTAATATAATTATGAGGGAAAAAAAATTGGCGTATCTTGGCGCGTGTCTGATTGACTGTAATTATAATATATATAAATAGAAACATTGCGTAATATTATTCATAGCGTGGTAGATATGCCGATGGTTTTTGATTGAAAAGTTAAAGCCGCAGAATATGATAAATAGACAAATAAATATAATTTTTTGGGAAATTCAGGCTAATAATGGCACTTGATCTAAACCGTATTGGATTTTTGAATTCTGGTTGTAGTACATGGGGGTTTTAATCGCGCAACTTTATTTCACAAGCGTACATAATAATTTGCTAAAAATTATCAAGTCCTTTAAAATAGTTTTGTTAAACGTTTATGCAAAGTTTCTGCCGTCCCTTCCGGTTTTCGAAGAATTTGTAATAATCCTCTTTTGGATTGCTCTCGACAACTGTCTAAAAACCAGGATTCAGACAATAAACATTATGTTTGTTTAGATATTTATTAGAAGTAGGAAACACTCCCACCGAAAAGCAATTAACAGCTGGAACTAACTATACCATTATAACTCTTTCCGCCTGTTTTTTTTTTTAGCTTGGGAAATAAGAAAAAGTACAGGGGAACAAATCCAGACTGTAAAGAGGATGAGTAATACTCACGCGGCATTGCATTATCACAATAAAGCATGACGTTTTTGCACCGTTTTTTCCTGCCGTTGATTTTGAAGACGTTTATTACTGACATTCGTTATAGTCAATATTCTGCATCGACGTACATTGTGCATCAATTTTAAATCTTTAGGGTAGAAAATTTATTGACAAAATAATATACATCTGAATAAACACGTGTAAGCTGTAAATAAACTATTTTATTTCAAATCTTGAGTCACTAAGCTATAAGGCGATGGTAATAGAATGTTAATACTGTAAATTGATTTCATTTATATAAACAAGTTGTCTTCATACCTGCAACCGAATCATAACTGTTTCTCGATTTAGGCAGATCTTCAATATAAGGCTATCGGCCACAAGTTTATTTGCTCGTACTACTTTTTCAATAGACATAAAGTTTTCTTTAACGTTAAATATATGGGGACTACGCTCGGACTTTTGTCAGACTCGGAATCTGCTCATTTTATCAGAAGTGACATTCAAATCTCCGGAACCGCCTATTTTCTGTAAAGATCAATGAACATTGTATGTATCGCTGTCATAAGAAAAATCGTATGACACATCTGATCGACTAATGTTTATTATCGTTTACAGAAATCTACGTGCAAACTCGATAAGTCAGTCTCTCGATTGTTTAATTTTTTGCCTAAGAAGGTCAAGCCTTTTAATATTTAAAATCTCTCGATAAGTCGGTCCACCATGCATGACCGACTTATCGAGTTTGCATGCGTAATAGTATAATAATTGAAAAAAAAAAAGCAATTGTAACATTCTATGTATAGTATTGACGAATCATAAACATTAATCGTAGGCTATGCCTGATCATAATACACGTACACACGCAACCCACACAGTCTATTTGTAATTCAAAGCGGATATGTTTTTCGCGTTAATTACAATCAAAAAAATTACTTTGTTTATTCTCAGATATAAT